ACGGACAGGTCTTAATAGCAGTTGCCAGTTGCTATCTAGCCAAAGCTGATATGTTGCGCCGAAGGGTGGTTATACCGGCTATACAGATACAGAATAAATGCGTGTTGTGAGGCACGTCATTGAAACAGTACGTCTAATATTTGGGAAACTGAGTCTTGCAAACGTTTCATGTCAGATTAAACTGTACAAAACACCATAAAGGCAGGTTGATGAACTGGTTTATTGATATATCACACACTAAAAGTACAAAATCGTAGCCCTGAGGCTACATTGTAGGGTACTATTATACATGCAATAAAACACCTCCGAAGACAATGAGACGAAATATTTACATTGGAGGTCGCCGACAGACATTCTCACATAGCATTCAAGAACTAACACAATATGGTGGTATTCATAAAGCGTTGTTCAGTTGTTAACAATTTAACTATTCCTGGCAACAGCATTTTGTTCTTGAGAGATCCTGATGATAGTCGGGCAGAGCAGATAAAGATTCCGTTCAATCAATAAAAAACTGGTGTCATCTTTTAAGGTGTTAGAAAAGTGAAACCCATTAAAAGACACGCCAAGTGTTAAGTTCAGTTGACGAATTAACGGTCCCCTATGTGGGACTATTGTCATTATTCTTCATAATGCTGGCAGGTAAAGGCCATTTATTTTCATAAGCACAGCCATGCGCGAAAAGCCATTGCCATCGCTCTAGAAGAGGCAGATACCTTGGGAAAGCAAAGTTCTCAAATTCGCAGCATGAACACATAGGCGAATATGGCCTCCCGACCAATACCGAAATCCCCACAACCATGGTTAGCAGTAGGTCGGGAGCAAGGTCGCCTGTGGTTGGCTGGTGTTCGGCGATGTCGGTTACTGTTCGGCTGCGCCGACCAACTATTTCAACATGTTTAAAATATTCGGGTGTGAAGGTTCGCCCATTGTTGGCTGGTGTTCGGGAGTAGTCCGCAGTGTTTGGAACTTTATCCGGGGTTCGTATTTTACTCCAGCTTCTGTAACACACCAGCTTCTGTATCTGTATAGCCAGTATAACCACCTTACGGCGTAACACACCAGCTTCGCTGGTACGCGGCGCGACGGCAGCTGGCTACATTGCACCGATCGACTTGTTACAACTAACCCTTGAACATCTAACTCTAGCCATTGTTTAAAGCTATCTAATGATTTACCGGGTGAAAAAAATTTAGTATCATTCTAAACGCAAACGGACAGTGACGAAACGTCGTAATTTTAGAGACTTACATAAAAAAAACGATTTCTCAGTCAAATCATCATAGACTCGATGACGCACGTGAACAACAGAAAAAGAATTCCCAAGGTTCTATAAATTAGCAAAGCAACAACACATCAATCTCTAGTTCAAGCATTAGAAACATTTATTTCAGACATCAATCATCAAAGTGTCAGGATGAGCTGGATTCATGCTTGTTAACATCCTTATCTTAACATCAATACATAACATTGAACATTATGATCACCTCAATGTTTTTGAATTACATCGATAATGCTTTCATCAATGTCGTAACGTGTCTTATCTAGTAGCCTACACATTTTCTCTTATGCATATGGAACAATAGAAAATCCTATGGATAAATGGCTTGCCGACATGGATCTTGTGAAAAATTTTCATGTTCGCTCATGTTTTATTTTCCAAGTCAAAAGTGTCTTTCTTCGCAATTATGTATTTATCATATCATGCTACTTGTGATCTAAGTTCATTTTTTTTATTATTTACTTCATCGGTCACCACAAAACAAGGCTCATGGGAGCCACTTAAAATGTTTTGGGTTACAGAACAGCCAGTGGGGACAGATGTTTGTTGGCCTTAGACTTGAAGCGTTTAAGGTTATACTCATAGAAGCAATCACGAGGTAGCTTATTCCAAACTGATGTTGTTCTTGGAAAGAAGCTTTCAGCATGGAACTTCCTCCTAAGAGGTGGAGAATGGAGGGGGAGAGGGTGATCCAAATTCATCCGATGGAAGTAAACATTACGTACAACGTGTGACGTGACACACAGTCAGTGTGGACTTTCATATGGCTCTAATTCTTCTGCTAGGGGCCATTTGCTTCGTCCATTTACCTATTAAATCCTAATTTTATGGTTAGCTCTTAACGACTTTACACCATCCTTATGAAATACGTTATGGTCCTGCCTTTCCTCAAGACAGCTTATACTTCCTTTAACGTCTTGGCATTTGGGCGGAAAGCAATAAAAGTTGTTAGGACCTGTTTGCCACTCAACATCGATTGACGGATTAGCATTACATGCTACAAAGTTAATTGGAAACAACAACTTAAGCAAGAACAAACGATTTCCCTATGTGGGGTCGTGTGGCGTAGCGGCAGAGTGCTCGAATCGAAACCAAGAGATCCCGGGTTCGAGTCCTGACATGCCACCAATCTTGTGCCCCTGGGAAAGACACTTTACACGACTTTCCTCACTTAGCTCAGGTGAAAATGAGTATTGTCCTGTCATGTATTTGTCCCCTGTGTTGGTGGCGGCATTAATATAAGTTGAAAAAACTTGAGTGTGTCGTTACCATGTCTGGTGATAACATGCTGGAATAAAAAAAAACGATTTCCCTGTACTTTGAAATTCGGCGCTGTATGCTACATGTATGTTGTCGATGCCAGTCAGTACTGACTATTAGAACCCCGATAACTTCAGCAGACCAGGGGTGGCTGATTTCATTTCGATAAGGAGGAGTCCGTATGGAGGGATTACACAAGCCATGGAGTCCACAACACGCTATGGCTGTTCCGATCGAAGGGTTCATCATTTGAAATTCACGGCATTGCCATCTTCAGCACTCATAAGAGCGCGCGGGGTTCTGAGAGTCATCGTGCAGCTGTGCATCACGGCGTGTGCCCTGTCAGGTTGATGTATGAACTTTTCCGGAAAGGTTTGGCGCAGTTGGCTGGAGATTCAGCGATAAGTTGTGGGAGTTCTAGATCTTCTGAACGCTGTAGATAAGCTCGTGTTCTGCATCTACGTATTCGTCTGGACTCCGTCGACGTGCAGATGTAACAGACCAGAATACACCCGAAACTCGGGTGGTCTTTGTTTGCGCATATTCTCAGAATACCACAAGACACACCTGCACAAAAAGCCAAGAAATTTTCATTTATAGGCTCCAGAAGATATAAAGCTCGCAAAGGGAGACACTGTATCAATCTGCTTAGCAGGCTGAAGGGAGACATGAATCTCAGAGGGCAAGGCCCTCCCACAACAGAAATGAAACTCCAAGAGCTAACTGAAGGGAAACAGAAGACACAGTGGAAGAAGATGGAAGAAGACTGAATGCAGCTGAAGGACGTTTTCTTACGACTAGAGAAGCAGGGTACAGTGGATGATGATGATGATGATGATGATACAACCCTGGTCAGAACTTACCCCTGTATATTTTTGCCAGGGGTATGTTCTGGGCTGTTACACCTTTATCCGTATTATGGAAGTTCCAGTACACGTTTGTCTAAAACATCGGCGTTCGTCATACGTCACGTCAATGTCATTCCAATATATGCTGGACTTGAGTCAGGTTCTGGACAGTTTTTTGGCATGTGTGTGTGTGGAAAATTTCTCATAAGAATGTATTTTTTATAGATTAACACTGAGATATTGCGTGTATTACCGATCGGACAGTCCATAAACCTGTTTATAGTTCAGATGAGTGACCCGTCAAACGTGACCTTCTCCATAATATCACCGGCCCTGTCAGACACCCATCACCGTCCATCCTGCCTCACGGACACGGCAATGTCCTATCACACGGCGGGGTACATAATAGCTGGTAATATTCATATTGTGGTTTATTGGGGGAAAACTCTCTTTAGCTGCCCACGCGTGGGTGACAGTTATTCCTCTGGGAGAGACTGCACATCTACTCACATGAATTCTACACATCCTTGGGACGCCTAGTGTCTATGTATGATGTCTTACGATGTGGCTCTGATATATGTAGTTCTGGCTGGTGTAATGACCTGAGGGTTTGTCCATAGCTAATTCAGGACAAATTTTACCTTGCATTGGGTCCTAAATATATTGATATACGCAACTCACTATACACTAGACTATCAGCTTCTATGCCAGCGTTTACCACAATGAACTTGAAAAGCATCTATTGGTTAAATACATAATGACTTCGGACAACCCCTACATGCTATACTGCGGTATATATTAAAGACTGTATAGATATTAGAAACTACTCCAATGATTGTATAAGTTCATACCTATCTCATACAAGCCACACACTCTTGTATTATTTAGGTTGGCCTTATGAACATGTAGTCAATATGTACTAGTAAATGCCATACTTTGTACCCTGTACAACTGTTTTGCAATTAAGTTATAGATCTTAGTCAGTAATTTAGTCGACACTGTGTAATACTCATAGAACCCGCATAGTATGTATACGTACAACTCCACATTATACTCTTTAGGAATATAGTACAGTGTAGCCTAGAGCATACGTGTAGAGATGTACTAGGTCTTAGTTAGTTCTATTCAACATTTTGCCAGACATGATACCCGTTGAACCTACATGTAGAATCTTGATAGACTCATTCCAGGTAGTAATCTTATTATTATCTGCCCTACATTGTACCTGTTACAATCGCTGTGCAATAAACGTTGACTTGACTTGTTTAAAGTTAAAACTTTTGGTCCAACACAAAAAAATTCTCACACCTAGCTTAGAGCTTTCGACCAGTCACTCTGGTCTTCCTCAGTAGACTGACCCAGTGAGGCTTGTCACGTGGCTTCTTTGAAGTGTGACGTCAACACTGGGTCAAAGGTATCTGGTAGACGATGTCGGCCCCCGTCGCGGTTCAATGTAGGGTGATGGGCCCTGATGTATATGGCTTCCTTCACCCCTCTCAAGAATTTTTTGTGTTGGACCAAAAGTTTTAACTTTAAACATGTAACTACCAACACAGATGAACTTTCATGATAGTTGACTTGACTTGACTTGAGTTCTCCCCGTGTTGCAGACCCGCGAGGCCGGCTGTACCATCGTCTGTTTGATGAGTATGACCAGGACGTGCGGCCTACACTCGCTCCTCCTGACGTGGTGGAGGTGCACTTCATCGCTATTCTCTCGCACATTGTAGAAGTGGTGAGTTACATGTATGATTTAAGGGCTTTGATGTTCACTAGCAAGTATCTATACTCAGAGTATCGTAGGGTAGACAACTTCTGGAAAAATGAAACACACATTGTTATTAATGATCATAACTGTTGCTAATACGCAATATTTATTTCCTGGCTAGAATGTAATAGGAAAGATGATGTATTCCTAATTTTTCTGAACTTGTGTCAAACTTACTTCAGTTACATTGTATGTTCATGTATGATATGTATATGATTTAAGGGCTTTGAAGAATAAAATCGTTCAAAAAAAGTTACATCTAGATTATACGTCGTAGGTTAGATCCGACACATTGTACGAGCAGTAATTTTGAACGATGTATGAAAGTTTAAGTCCATAACAAAATGCAAAACAAAGAATACGCGCTACTGGAGGTTCAATTCATCGCTAGTCTCTCTCACATTGTAGAAGTGGTACGTTATGTAGATTATACTAATCCCCAAGCAGATCATACGGTGGCAAGGCAGTATCTATTGGCCACTGGATACTGTCTGGCTAATGGATACTGCCTGGCTAATGGATACTGCTTAGCCAATTTGATAATGTCTTTTGCGGCCACCGACAGATCTGCTTGAAGATTAGATCATACATGTACGTCGTAAACACGTTATTAGTTAGATCTGACACATTGTAGAAGGACCTAGAAGTGATAAAGGTTTGAAGGAACTATTAAGTTTGTAGTTCATAGCAACATGCAACATGCAAAACAAAGAATGTGTGTTGGCACACCTAGCTGGTTATAGTGGTTTTATTCAAAATATAGTGTTATGATATGTAAATAAGATAGATAATGTAGTGTAAAACATATGCTAGTTCAGTAAAATCACTATTAACACATGGGTCCAAGTAGCCCGGTGATACAGTAAGAGAAAACCAATTATACAACAATGTGAATACGTAAAACACAATAAACTTTTAGTGAGTTAGATGACAACCTTCCATGGAAGATAGATGTTGGAATTATAGAAGACAAAAGACCCTTCTTTTGAAAATACCTTTAATCAGTCCAGGAGTCCCCGTAGACGCCGAATGTACGTACATGTACGAGGGCTGAGCCTTGTGCCGGTCTCCAAACGTCTTAAGATCATAAATATTTCAAAGCAACTACTTGGCGGAATCTCATGCACTCCAGGAGCAGGGCTTTACTTTCGGACCCCCGGCATGCCGAAAACACATTAGGATTACACGTGAGTCACTGGCACAACGATGATCCAGATTGAAACCGCTGACCCAAGAAATTGAAGACATGACTGAGAATCAGAGGGTCTTTGGGGTGTTGTGGAAGCAATCAGCGAGCGACTTTCCCTGAATGTTTATGAAGTTTAAAAGCCCAAAGTCAGGTAACCGTGTTTACAGTAAGGCCACAGCGGCCGGCCAGAAACCCCTCGGAGACATATGGTTAGTTACGTCAGAGGCAGGTCCTTACATAAGGTTCAAGGGCGCTATCTTTTTGCAACAAGATTCTAAACATCTTTATATAATTCTCGGTATCAGCAAGCTGCTTTAGAAATGTCTTGCCAGATCCTCCGGCAAAGTAAACTAAAAGAAAATTTAAAAAAATTAATGGCAAAATTTCGACAATCGCATTCTTACTCTTTCACCCTGTTTTTTTTCAGGACGCAAAGAAGCAAATACTGACAGCAAACCTATGGCTCCATATGGTAAGGACTCTAAATAACACGAATGTTCACGAATGTTCACGAAAGTTTCAATTTCAACTGTAGGCAGTTCAAATGCCATAGCCATGGATGTCCATAAAAAGGAAAAGTAGTTGTTACGTGCATCTAGATAATATGCAATAAAACCGACAATTACGATTCTATCTATTCACGGTATGGCATACTTGTATCTATGTATTATTCATCTAAAAGCACTGACAATTACGATTCTATCTATTCACGACATGGCAAACTTGTATCTATGTATAGCACCACGGAGTTACTAAATGATAGCACTGACAATTGCGATCTGGAAAACTATGTATTATTCATATGCCAGTCCTAACTATAATTTTGATGATTTCAGATGTGGTACGACCCTCGGCTAGAGTGGAATAAAGCTGACTACGGGAACGTGACGACGTTAGTAGTTCCTGACGAGCGGGTCTGGAAACCGGACGTGGTGCTCTACCAAAAGTCTGTATCATTTGTTATGTTTACCGAAGGAAAACATATTGTTTTTACTACGTTTCTTCTTCTGTTCCAAACACTAACCTCTGACCTGACCAATGGCCTGATTTGTTGATGTCTGTCACCATGGTAACTGGTGTTGGGTTACATCATGTTGCAATTTTGGTAGACTTCTGTCTGACCATATATATTAATGTAACGTTACATGTATTTGAGTAAGAAAAGCAAACCGTATCCGAAGGTAAACATTATGCATTTGCTTTGCAAATGTTACCTTTCTAGTTTATTTATTGATCTTAAAAACAATTGGGTGGTACCTTCAGTTTAGAACAACTGATTTCCAAGGTAGCCCAACAGAACAAGTTACAAAGGACATAGACAATCAAATAATTAAACATAGAGATAATTAATAATATGAACAAAGAGTACAAGTAATCAATCATTAGAAACATGACATGTCAACCAAAACAAATAGTCAAAATCATAAGGCATAATCATAGTCCGTGTCATTCCAGTCGAAAGATAAGTCAGTCGATGAGGTCAGGGGTCATGTGTTTAGTGCTCTCTTAAGAGCATTCAATGTGGTTGTTTGTTTAGTTTCATCATTTAACAAGTTATCAGATCCTTTTTTTGGACGAGTCCATGTCATGATGACGAGTGCGTTGTTGTGTTGTCATCCATTACCAAGAACGTAACACAACTTCTGGTCTGCCGAACACGCTAATGAAATTTTGCCGATGTCACTACCCTCTTGTATGTACATCCTAATCAATCTTACCTGTACCGCTACATCAATCCAACTTTCCGCCTAATGCCTAAAATTCAACAAGTAGTGAATCTACAATCCGTATCTATAATTTCCTATCGAGATATTAAATCTGTTAATCTTCCACGAATGTATTTGACCCCCATGTGCGGTTATGGCGCGCGCCTTCTGATATTACCCAATTATTGACAACCAATGGCATCTATCATATCGCAATCTGGTACAGAATGGGTGATAGCGGCTGACCCCGGAATGCCAGACTTTGACCCTCTAGCCAACCTTGGGGTCGTCCAATAAAGTTTTGCATCAAACCCGGAATAACCTGTTTTTCTGCTCCGTCCACATCAGTCATTCATATCTGTGCGGTTTGACTTCATGTCGTTTTAAGTTTTATTGCTTTTCCAAAAGTCAATATCGGAGAATCGCGGAAGATGAACAAGAATTTGAATTTGAATGTATGAAGACGTTTATCAGTTACTTTAATTGTTGCCGAGAATGCTGCTTTCTTAGTTGTTACCTGAATTTATTAATTAACCTGAATTGCAGAGACTTACATGTACGTCTCTGCAATTAGGAGCAAGTGGGCGGATAGCCTTTTGTAGCTCCTATATGTCCATCGTGGTTCTTATGTATTCGTCGATGATGTTCTTGAGTAATAGTTGTAAACGTAACAATTCTTTCTCTATCGTGCTAGCCGTTCTTTTGTAATTCCACCTATCCTTATGGGTCTGGAGGTTTACAAACCACAATAATTGCCAGAACCATGCCAACTGAAAAGTCATGTAACTCGGATTGACGGCAATGTTCCCACGCTATTATTTGGCATGGGAGCGGTTTGCCAGGCCGCCATCGACAATTTTCGCGTTCCGTAGATTGGAGGCGATTTTCAAGAGCCATTATTGAACTTGGGGAACATTTCGGGACACAAAAATGACATTATCACGTATTATACAGCAGCTTTATGGGTGAGGTTGAAATTGCGTATACCTTAAAAAACAGAAACCGCTTAAAAATAGATTGGCATTTAGATAGCGAAAATCAAACAGTAGTTTAACTACAACCTTATCCCTACCCTAGCGGTGCAGCATTCTTAGGCCAACCGACAAGTCTTAGATTCTCTGTTGGATTAAACTGGACAAGATTTCAGTCATTCAATGTAATACTGTATTTATACAGTCTCAATATTATACCTATGACAAAAATGAAACACAGACAAATACACAATAAAAGAAAATAGGATTTATTTCACAAAATGTAGGAAATGCCATCTGCTAAGATATTGAATCCCAAAGAACTACCCAGGACGTTACATGGAGGCCCCGTGTTTGGGGAGAGCAACACCCCACGCACGTTAAAGAACCCACCACACTTATCGAAAACAGTAGGGGTCCTTCCCGGCGTGAGTGGTTCAAACCTTACAGTGTGGTCTTACGCAGCTTGTACTTTTCTTCTGATCTGTCTTAGTATTCTTATAAAGTTTCTTTCTTATTGTTTTTGTTTAGAACCAAATAAAAAAGTACTTACCTGTACATGTACAAAACTGGTGCATTATGCCTAAAGGCGGTTTACCGGTTATGCAAAACACACAAACAAACAAACAAGATTAGAGATATTATTTGATGGAAAACTAAACATTCCCCTGTGTTCTATAGCGCCGATTCAGCGTTTGACGGCTGGGCTAAGATGCACGTCCTGATCAACAATGACGGTACTGTTGTGTGGGAACACCCCGCCATCGTCATGTCCGCGTGTGAGATGGACGTGTCCGCATTCCCATTTGACAGTCAAGTCTGCACACTCACGTTCGGGCCCTGGGTCCAGGACGCCACAGAGGTTGTTCTCCAAACAATGTTCATAATCTCCAAATAGATCCTACGTTGGCAATTCAAGGCAGTATCCATTGGCCAGAGGAGTGTCCATTAGCCACCGAAGGATCTGGATGGAGAGTAATTACAATATTTCTAGGTTTATCATGCAGTATTTCCGTACTTCTCCAAGCAGATCCTAGGGTGGCAAAAGACAGTATCAAATTGGCCACGCGGTATCCATTGGCCAGAGAGGGTCCCAAGGGTGGCGTATTGGACCCTGGCGACTGGATATATACTGCCTGGCCAATTTGATACTGTCTTTTTCCACCGTAGGATCCGTTTGTAGAACTACGGAAATACTGCATGAAAAACCTAGAAATATCGTAATCTGCAAGCAGATCCTACGGTAGCTAGACAGTATCCTTCGGTGGCTAATGGACACCCCTCCAGCCAATGGATACTCCCTTGCCACCGTATGATTTTCGTTGGCTAGTACACATTCCTCTGGCCAATGGATAATGCCTTGCCACCGTAGAATCTGCTTGGAGATTATACATATTGTCCCAGGCTACCGTGTTTTTGTGTGTAAATGTTTCCCTTAAAAAAACGTTGGGTTATATCATATGACCATTCAGATCTGTTACGTGTTGCACTAGTACAGATATGTTCATTCCCGTTGGTGGAATTTGGTTTCTGAGTTAGCTCAGACGCCCTATTAAAACCTTATCTTCTTTAGGTGTTGATGATCAGCGACAGCGCAGCGAGCAACCTCAAGCACTTCAGCGCCAACGTCGGCGCCTCCGGCTGGGACGTGCTCTCTCTCAACGCCCGAGACCAGAAGGTGTCTTACGACGGAGTCTACTGGGGCACAACTCCCAAGAACTTCTCCGAGACTGACATCACCATCCACCTGCGAAGGAAGCCGACCTTCTATGTCTTCAACCTTCTGCTCCCGTGCGTGCTGCTGGCCGTGATGATGGCCGCCACCTTCCTCCTCCCCATAGATAACGGAGAGAAGGTCTCCTTTGGAGTGTCCATCTTACTAGCGCTGGTCGTCTTTCAACTGCTAATGGTGCAGCTCCTTCCCGAGTCAGAGAGCTTACCGTGGATAGGTAATGTACAGCTTAAGTGCTCACTAATCTTCCACGGTATGATAGAACTGTTATTGAGAGGGGGGTTCTGAAGTACACTGATGAGCCGTAAAATAACAAAGCTAGATGGTTGTTGGAGATCCTTCAAGCCCCAATTAGGTTTCATTTGCAACGCAATCCTACTCTGACGTATCGACCAAATTTCCTGGATCCGGAGGGCAGAGGTTCATGGTCGTTTTGCAACTACAAACTAGCAAAGTAAAAGCATTACTCTTTCCTGCAAACGAGTCTAAAATCCTCACCAAAGGGGATATATGTAAAAAAAATCGCCATCAGGACAATGTTTAAGATATAGGTAAAGCAGTCTCAGTAACAATTTAACACAATTCAAAATTGATAAAGTTGACAGTTGTTTGGATCCATTGAAATCCTGTCTGTAAGTTAGTACCCCAGACGTTTCACTAAGGTACGACTGCTTGAGCGAGATGTCGGTTGGCTTGAGGAATGAATCCCCTCTACTATATACGTAGTACTCAATTATATTACAATTTTACAGGTTATATGATATACTAGTATTTTCTTGATGACATTGCCATAGATCCTGCTTTTGGGCATCTTCTGCTTAACAGTACGTGCTCCGAGCCAAGTCTTTTGTAGCCACTGGATGAATTTTGTCTAAAGGTATAATAGGTCTAAAAGCATGGTAATTTGGCTTCAATTTGAGTGTGTTCCTGGACTTAGCTTGAAGTCTTTGCAAATGGGTGTATGGTACAGCAACTAATTCTGGTTGGCATCTTTCAAGAACTCGTTCCAATATCCTTAACTGGACAGCGTAATTTGACTTTTGACCAGATGTTTCCGCCTTTCTTTGATGGAACTTAAGCAAAATTACAAAACAAGCTATAATGTGGTTTGTGGAATAAAGTCCTGCATGAAAGCGGCTTACCCTAGACTCTTCCCCCCTAATGTTGTACGGAAATTGAAGCTATTGATCTTCTTTTCTTTCTTGGTGCACTCAAAAGTAATTATAAGTACTGTATGCTTACAATGACGTTTACTTAATATGTTTCAGTAATATCTCATAACGCCAAAAAACAGTGACTCAAGCAACTGGATATCATTTTGGAAACGGTCAGATGTTTCAAGTGGCATCCACTATCTTCTACCGTCAGTGACACTGGAGACAACACTTAAGCTCCTGTTCTGAAACAACAGGAGCTATTTTACTTACTTGCATCATCCTTGTCTTGACGTTTCTAAGTTTTGTTTCCATTTGGACTTTTAAAAAGTCATCTTCACTTATTTGCAAAGCAATCCAATCAATGCTTATGAGCCTGCCTTTCTGACAACCCTCCAGTGTCACTGACGAAAGGTAGTGGATGTTAACTGAAACGTCTGACAGTTTCCAAAATCATATCCAGTTGCATGATTAACTGTCTTTTGGCGTATCTTATTACCTGGATGTCTAACCTTCACCGAAGTATCCCACATCGTCTTGTCATCTCTCCTCCAGGTAAATTCGTCATCATAGCCATGGTACTGATGGCCGCTTCACTGGCAATCTCCACCATCGTCATCAACGTCTGCAGCCGCGCCACGGGCCCGGGCAAGAGGCCGCTGGGCCCGTGGACACGGCGGGTCTTCCTCCGCTACACGGCAAAGATCCTCCTCATGGGCGACCTCTCCCAGGAGGACCAGCCCTACAGCCTCATAGACGGTCGCAACAACGTCTGCGAGCAGGTTCCGATGGCGTCCAAGACCGTCCAAAGCTTCGTCCTTCTGCCAGGAAGTTCCGATGATGTGGACAAGAAAGACGACAACGCGGCGTCTGCGGAGATGCTGGACATCATGAGAGGGATCAAGAAGGGACTGGACTCGCTGCTCATCTACTACGAGGAGAAGGAGAAAGTCGAGGGCATCGAGAGTGAGTGGAAGCTGCTTGCCAAGGTGTTGGATCGGATCTGCTTGCTCCTGTACCTTGTAGGAGCTTCTACGTGCTTGCTGGCGTTTTATTTCAGCTCGACGGTCATCACACCAGAAGATACCTAAAGTAAAAATAACTCTCCAGCAAGTCTTGCCATCGCTGCCGCATCCTGGCGCGAAAACAGATACAGGTACTGCTGAACACGAGACCACGGCATCGATGTGTTTATCAACATCATCATGATGCAAAGAATGTCAGAATATGCCAGTCGTGCTGAGTTGTAGTGCCATATCGCATGGAGCTGTTTTGTACTGCGGAAATGTGCTTGTCAGTGTGACCGTTTTTGTCCCTGAAATATTGTTTCGTGGCTAGTTAAGTTACAAAGGACGAGACGAGTGCAGTGGATACTGAATAAACTGTCAGTTAACGTACGAATATCTAATATTAAGTAATATCTGCCATAGTTAGATATTGTGTCTAAAATAGAAGGTAAATATAATTAGCATTGTAATGCAAAATACTTCATTGTATGAATAGATGGATGCGTTAGAAGCATAGCAATTGTGATTGCATATAATAATTGCTAGATAATGCTAAGGAAAAAGTCGTGAAAAGAAAATTTCGAAGAACTGTAATTGGATAGAAATGTACACAGGTGCATGCTATTCTATGATATCATATGATATGATATGATACAATATGACTAATATGATAAGAAAATGAGGCAAAAGTATGATGTAAGCATTTAACTTTTGATGAGGAAATGTTGCACTGTTCAATGAATATAAATCGTAAGATACCAAACAATATCAAGGGTTATGCCAGAATTTAGTTGCACGTTGTTACTAAATTATCGTGGCTATCAATAATTATTATATTACTATAAAGAAAGTCATGTTGTCACTCGTTGTGAACAGGTGCGTATAGAAAAATGATGATAAAGCAAATTACAATATTTAGCATGCTTAACTGTAGCTTCATAATCATCTAATGTGGAGTTTAATAAATATAACGACAAAATCGATTATGTAGATACATTAGACACTAGTATCTAGAATGTTGATAATGAATATCATATTATTGTATCACCGAGTTTTAATATTCCATTTGAAACTGTCTTAAGATTTGCCAGCTGCGATATGTATGACTTTCAAATCATAAGTTAATGAAATAATGGCTGAAGTTGTACTCAGGGGCGTGTGAAATGCTGAGTAGTTATCTGTCAAAAGACCCTCGGTGACTGCACTTCACTATTCAGTCTGCACCAGCTGTGTAAACTGCACTACAATGGCAGCGTTTCGCTTTCAGTACTCAGAGCATGTTTGATAGCAGTCCTGTCAATATTTCTCTATAGACCAGCCATGTGTTGGTTACTTACTGAGGTCGAAAAGTTCCTGATCAAACTCATATCAAGCGTTATTAAAAATTGGATTGTAAATGTATACCCTTAAATGACTAACTAGTATGTTATGTATGCCACTTGCTCTGTACAAATGCTAAGGTTGATTAGGCACCTTTTAGTGTATACATGTAATGGTACGTACTAAATGATAGTTACTGGTAGGATCCGTACATATACTTTATGCGAGAGGACTTAGGACTCTAAAAATGTATCACTATGAAATAAAATCAGTATATCTGTGACGCGTGGGAGGCTGTCTTTACTGTGTGTGTGTGTGTGTGTGTGTGTGTGTGTGTGTGTGTGTGTGTGTGTGTGTGTGTGTGTGTGTGTGTGTGTGTGTTGTACGCGAAAAGACTGGATCATACCGTGGCCGACAAGAACAAAATTTTACACCGCAACTTTTGGTGTTTTACACCGCAACTTTTGGTGTTTTACACTGCAACTTTGGGTGTTTTACACTGCAACTTTTGCTGTGTTTTACACTGCAACTTTTGCTGTGTTTTACACTGCAACTTTCGGTGTTTTACACTGCAACTTTTGCTGTGTTTTACACTGCAACTTTTGCTGTGTTTTACACTGCAACTTTTGCTGTGTGGAAAACTTACACCCCTCCCCTTTTATAATGGACGGTCCCCCTGTCAGGTCAAAGGTGACAACGATGGCATGCAAACTACGTCGACTGAGTTATCCTTTTCGTGCATAAGTTTTTTTAGAGGAAAAGCTTGGCTACGTTGTGACGTTAGTTTTTTCTAAAGGTTTTCTAGCTTTGGCCTATAGATCGGGATAAATTTAAAAATGTTTCGACCAGGTCCAGTGATTACAAATTATGTTGCTATCTAGTGAATGTTGGTAACGTTTGCACCGCTACGTGTTGATGTCGACGCATGGTATGATAGAAATGATGTCTGTCTGAAGGCGTAAATATGTAATTAGCTTAAACTATCGTGGCATGATGTCATAAACGCTTGCATGCGGCGATAGTCGTCTTCCACGTTTCCCCGCCTTTGA